GTGTACAGGCATACCATTTCCATCTGGTACTTCATCCTGAGCTACATAAAGAATTCAGTCCACTAGATAAAAAAAAAAAGATCTACTGGGAAATCCTTACATGGCAAATCTGTACATGTGAACTGTGGCAGTTTCTCCCAGTTTATGCAGTTACATTAAATAACCATGTGTGATGTTATGAAAATTATGAGAGGAGTCTAAATGAGAGTGTGTGAAAAATATTTTATTGTTATTCATATTCCTAGATTTCAAACATTAGTTGCTCTTTTTCTGAGTTTTCTTAATATTTTCTGTTAATATTCAGTTCAGTTCAGTTCACTCAGCTGTGTCCGACTCTTTGCAACCCCATGAACCACAGCACGCCAGGCCTCCCTGTCCATCACCAACTCCCGGAGTCCATCTAAACCCATGTCCATTGAGTCGGTGATGCCATCCAACCATCTCATCCTCTGTTGTCCCCTTCTCCTCCTGCCCTCAATCTTTCNCAGGGTGACAATATACAGCCTTGACGTACTCCTTTTCCTATTTGGAACCAGTCTGTTGTTCCATGTCCAGTTCTAACTGTTGCTTCCTGACCTGCATATAGGTTTCTCAAGAGGCAGGTCAGGTGGTCTGGTATTTCCATCTCTTTCAGAATTTTCCACAGTTTATTGTGATCTACACAGTCCATCAAACAAAACAAACACATCTAGTGAAGCCTAACTGCCATTACTCAAACATATACATTCTTTAACACACTGGGATTTTAAGAAAATGATTTTATGGGAAAAATAATTTTGGAAATTTGCACCCATGATGGTTCAAAGGAAATATATTACATTATTAACAGGGCTTTATTGAGACACTTAAAAAAATACTAAGTACTTTTATATCAAGCTCCCAGGAGATGAAAAGAATAATGAATTACAATCTAGAGATTTTATTAGAAAGGACATCAAATAAAAGATTATTTATAGACTTAATGAAAAAAATCTTATCAAGTATTATTAACTAATCCATATGAAGCCAAACTGAAAGACATTAATTCATAGATTCACATCTCTCATTTTGAAAAGGCCCTCCACCTGAATGAACTTTGACCCCTGTTCCTAGCACCTGCCTTCAACTAAGCCAAGCATCACTAAGCTAGGAGAAGAAGATAACAGTAACATACAGCAGACCCATGAGTCTGGACCAGGCTTGTAAGGCCCATTCTACCAATTCAATTGTACTGACCAAAGGTCTGTCTATCAAAATTAAAAGTTGTTTAATTTCTAGCTGTTTTCCCCCAATGTTTAGGATGGAAATAAAACTGTTTGGTAACACTTAGTATAGCTACTAGGGGCAAATTAACTGACTTCTGGATTTTTATCAAATTCTTTGATCAATACAAGGCCAACAAAAGCCTCTTATAATTCTTGTCAGTGACTCTTCAGATGTTCCTATAGTCTATAAAATGATTTCTCATAAGTATATCCCTCTATGTTTTTGTTGTTCAGTTGCTAAGTTGTGTCCAACTCTTTGTAATCCCATGGACTGCAGCATTCAGGCTTCCCTGTCCTTCACTATCTCCCAGAGTTTGCTTAAACTCATGTCCATTGAGTCAGTGATGCCATTTAACCATCTCATTCTCTGTTGTCTCCTTCTCCTCCTGCCTACAATTTTTCCAAGCATCAGGGTCTTTTCAAATGAGTCAGCTCTTCCCATCAGGTGGCCAAAGTACTGGAGCTTCAGCTTCAGCATCAGTAATTCCAATGAATATTCAGGATTGATTTCCTTTAGGATTGACTAGTTTGATCTCCCTTGCTGTCTAATGGAGTCTCAAGAGTCTTCAGCACCACAATCTGAAAGCATCAATTCTTTGGTGCTCAGCCTTCTTTATGGTTCAACTCTCACATCGGCATGTACATGACTACTGGAAAAACCATAGCTTCGACTATATGGACCTTTGCGGCAAAGTGATATCTGCTTTTTAAAACACTGTCTAGGTTTGTCATAGCTTTTCTTCTAAGGAGCAAGCATCTTTTAATTTTGTGGCTACAGTCACTGTCTGCATTGATTTTGGAGCCCAGGAAAATGGAATCTGACACTTTTCACTTTTTCCCCATTTATTTGCCATGAAGTGATAGGACTGGATGCCATGATCTTAGTTTTTTGAATGCTGAGTTTTAAGCCAGCTTTTTCACTCTCTTTCACTTTCATCAAGAGGCTCTTTAGTTCCTCTTTGCTTTCTGCTGTTAGACTCGTATCATCTGCATAACAGGTTGTTGATACTTTTCCCAGCAATCTTCATTCCAGTTTTCAGTCATCCAGCCTGGCATTTTGCATGAGGCACTCTGCATATAAGTTAAATAAGCAGGATGACAATGTACAGCATCGATGTATTCCTTTCCCAATTGTGAACCAGTCTCCTGTTCCATGTCTGGTTTTATGGCCAATGTATACATGTACTACAACCTTTTTTATCCATTCATGTATCAATGGACATCTAGGTGGCTACCATGTTCTGTGCTGGGCTTAGTCACTCTGTTGTACCTGACTCTTTGTGACACCATGGACTGTAGCCCACCAGGCTCCTCTGTTCATGGGGATTCTGCAGGCAAGAAGCTATTACAAATAGTGTTGCAATGAACATTGGGGTACATATGTCTTTTTCAATTATGGTTTCCTCAGGGTATATGCCCAGTAGTGGGATTGCTGGGTAATATGGTAGCTGTATTCCTAGTTTTTTAAGGAACCTCTATACTGTTCTCCACAGTGGCTGTATGAATTTACATTCCCACCAACAGTGCGAGATGGTTCCCTTTTTCCACACCCTCTTCAGCATTTATTGTTTGTAGATTTTTTGATGATAGCCATTCTGACCTGCGTGAGGTGATCCCTCACTGCAGTTTTTATGAGAACATTTTTAATTGGTATACTTCAAAGAAGGTGTTTCATTAATATTTCTAGACATTATATAATAAAACACACACAGATATATATGTATATATATAAGTATCTTGATTTCATAAGTTATTTATACCTTATGCTGACACATGTTCATAAAATAAAAAAATACAAATGAATGTGTACACAGTTATTCATGTACAATGTATTGGGTTTGCTAGAAAGTTCAGTCTGGTCTTTATGTAAGATGTTATGGAAAAACTTGAATAGATTTTCCGGCCAATTCAGTATTTAGAAGTGCAAAATATTCAAAACCATAAAAATATTAAAGGAGAGAATTAGTTAATTTAAGGTATGCATTGCACACTGTGATATAATATAAATTATGGTAAATACTGTGGTACAAACAGCTATATGTAGTAGTATACTCTGTGTGAAAATGAACTCTATATAATGACTTGGAGGGACTTCTAGAAATAATATTAAGTAAAAAACACTGGAGGGGAAAACTAATATGCAAACACTGGGTAATAAAACAGAAATGAGAAAAAATAAAGGTGAGACAAAAAATAGAGAAAAGACAGGAAAACTATCACAAAATGATGAACATAGATACCTACAAGAGGAGAGGGAAGACTGAGAAGCCTCTAAGCATACTGCTTTGTATATTGTTAACTTTTGGAAGTAGTTTCATGCTCTATGTATTTAAAAATAAAAATTAGGCCAAAGCAAATAAGATGGAATGGAAAGAAAAAGCAAACTTAAAGAATTGAAACTACTGCAGGGAGAATAAAAGCAGTAATTCCTCAAACCAATATTTACTAAAAACCCTGTCTTGGACATGGAAGTGGGGTGATTTGGGGGGAGGTGAACAACTGACAAGTCATGCAATCATTTTATAACTTGGTTTGCTTTTGTAATGGTGTATTCAGAGCTATTCTGAAACCATTTCAGAAGCATTACAGGATTAAGTAAATAAGTAATTGTGCCAATGCTGTTTCAGAACTCTAGCTTCCTGAGCTGTCATGTCCTACACATGGCCACCACACTGCTCAAATATCTGTTATTAGTGACTGCGTCTGTGTGTAGGACTCTGTTAGTCACTCAGTCATGTCTGGCTCTTTGCGACCCCATAGACTGCAGCCTGCCAGGCTTCTCTGTCCATGGAATTCTCCAAGCAAGAATACTGGAGTGGACTGCCATTCTCTTCTTCAGAGGAACTTCCCAACCCAGGGATTGAACCCTGGTCTCCTGCCTCGCAGGCAGATTCTTTACCATTTGAGCTACAGGGAAGAGGTCACCAATTCTAAGTGGCCTGCTCCTACAGGGAGGATTAGTTTTCACTCAACTAGCCCTCCCACCACAAAGGACACCACCCAACAAGGACTAGACACTGTGTGGATCTACCAGTGGCTCCTGGCTGAACCATTAGCACACACACTTAGATACCTGATGATACCATAGTGAAATTCCCAGGCATGATCTCTAAGGGGCATGAATTCTCATTCCAGAGGACGAGACTGCCAAACTTGGGTGATTCAACTCTGAAAAAATAATTGGGCCCAGCAAATAGTGCAACCCTTTCGACCACCTGCATTCTCATTTGCCCATAGAGAGTCGTTGATGAAACCAATTTATGTGGTTACCAGAGAGGCTGCTTCATTTTAGTGAGGATACAACCAAGAGAATGCCCAAAAGGCCCTCCAACAGGCCTCTTGACCCTCATCAGATGTTTGATTTACAGATCTCCAAAACAGCTCTTTGCTAATGGAGACTATGGCACAAGGGCCCTATCATGGGTAGAGGCATCCATTGGGCTTCTGTAGTTATAACTACTGGGAGCTGGCTGAAAGGCACACTACTTTGGAGACATGGGTATTCACCTGCTACTGGGTGTTGGGCCATTAATCTTCTGGTCACAAAATGCTCTTAAGGACAAAAATTTCTATCAAATGGTATCAGTATTTCTGCTTTTCTCTCTAGGTATCTCATGGTATCTGATTTTAGTCAAAGTGAAATATTTCAATATGAATATATGCTCAACAAATACATTTTCATAAACCAAAATAAAAATATCTCCTAATGAGTTTAATTTAAAACAATATAAAATTTTCTGTAGTTTTTGCACTTACTAGTAAATCTTTCCCAGGTGTGAAAACTTTCTTTCTTCACTTGAATCTCTGATTCTGACATTGCCTCTTGATGGTCAAGCATATGATTTCCATCTGGTACTTCATCTTGAGCTACAAAAAGAGAAGAATTTAGTGAACTAAATAAAAACAAAGATCTACTGTGAAATGTTTAGCTTACAATTTATAAAATGAAAACAGCAGCAGTTATCTCATTTTATGAAGTTAAGAAGAAAATCACCATATTGTGAAGTCTGCTATGAAAACTATGAGAAGAGTCTTAATGAGTGTGTGTGAAAGTTACTTTACCATAAAAATAATACTCATGGAATTCAAATGTGTTTTATGTTTGTTAAATTTCTCATTTTCTGAGTTGCCTCAATATTTTGTTAATATAATTCAATAGACCAAACAAAGAAAATACATATGTACAAGGTTTTTCATAGCATAATATTTGCAATTGTAAAATATTAAAACCACTTAAACATAAAGCATAGGAGACTGGTAGGCTAAAGTATCATATGTAAAGTATAAAAATATAGACTGTAGGGTGCAATGTGCACATGGAGCTGTACAAACAAGTATAAAAGGAATGATAAAGATCCCGATGAAATGACTGGGAAGCATCTCCAGGATACAGTGTGTAATGGGCGAAAAAACCTAAAAGAGGGAATACCAAGTATGGTTTAAGAAAGAAGGAAGGAAAGAAGGAATAAAGGAAATTTGAAAAAAAAAAGATGATGAAAGATCCTTATTTATAAAACAAGAAATACAGGAAATGTAAATCAAAAACAATATACTGGGTCACAAGAGTCCCTGCAGACATGGCTGACTGAGCCACACCCAGTAACTACTATTTGCTCTCATGCTATTCTGACAATGATGGATACTCCGTGATATAGCCAGTTTCTGAAATTCAAGCCTAATGAAAAAGAATCCAGGTTTCTCAGTTTCATTTGACCAGCAACCTGAGGAAACTATACAAACACCACTGTGAAGGAGCTACTCTTGTGAACTTAGTGAGCGAAACAGACACCTTGCTGGCTGTGTCTCAACAGAACCCCTGGTTCTGAGTTTCCTAACAGGGGCCACTGTGTCCAGGAGGACAAGGGAGGGGATGAGGAAGAAAACACACAAACACCTGAGACAATCTCCTTCCTCTTCTGGCTGACATTTGGTTTCTGAAAACTTCTGCCCACACATGGTGAGCTCCTTGCCACTGGAAACACTGTCTAGTTACCCAGCAATGGAGGCTCAAGGAAGGGATGGATGGACTCTCTAGCACACATTTTGTGCTAAGAAGCAAGCCATGGTGGCCAACACAGACCCATGAGACTCAAAACAGTGATGAACTTATTACTAATAACGTGCTCCCCCCAGTGACCTTAAGATGAATCTGACAACTTTATTTTTACCCAGAACACTTGGCTTTTCAAAATAAGCAAGATAAGGGATTCTAGTCCCCAAGATTGGCTTCTAGTTTACCAAGGACTGTTATCTCCACAACTCTGACACCAGGATGAGAGGAACACAAGAAATGCATTTTGACCCTTACTTAAACCTGACCATGGTGCATGTGGGTGCCTTTAGGCATCATGAACTTCTATTTCATAGCTCCCACTGCTGAACACATAATTGCATGCATGCTAAATTGCTGCAGTCATATCTGACTCTTTGCAACTGCATGGACTGTAGCCTGCCAGGCTCCTTTATCTGTGGCATTCTCCAGGCAAGAATACTGGAGTGGGTTCCCATGCCCTCCTCCAGGGGATCTTCCCAATCCAGGAAATGAATCTGCACATCTTGCATCTCCTGCATTGTCAGACTGGTTATTTACCACTCGTGCCACCTGGGAAACCCTGAATACATCATTAGTACAGATGTATTTTCTATGTGAACTCGAAGTCACATAAGCCCCAAGCCGTGATGAGCACTGCTGCACTCAGGATCATTTCCGTGGCACACATGGAAGACTGCAAACCTACCAGACTACAGTGCCTAGAGACATGTCTTCAGATCAACTACTAAGCAAAGGAAAAACAACTGCTAGCCATCTTTGTGGACTTTCAGTAAGGCAAATGTCTCTGTGAGATTACTCCTCCATTCAGTTTAACTAAGTAAACCTATGCGAAGAGCCTTGTGTGCCTAGACTGGACTACAGAACTACTGTACTAGAGTTCAGTTCTGTGGTACAGATCAGGACACTGGCCTTACCTGACATTGTGACCATCCTAGAGGCTCTTGCCCCAACTGAGGGAAATAGGTATGAAGGAATTCATGTTGCAAATGCTCCTTCAAGTCTCTGTCCACACAGATGATATGATCAGTTTGCTTTTTGCTTAAAAGGTTGGAATACACCTTTAATGTCCCTGCATAATGCCATGAGCAGGAAGAAGTCCCATTCCCAGGTGGAGCACTGGGCTTCCACACTATTGTTGACATCCTCATCCTCCTGGTGCATCCTGGCATATCTACTATCCCACCAGGCCAGATGCTATGCTGACCATGCTTAGCAGCATAGCAGGGTCATTAACAGAAGCATGGACAAGCACCTTGTAGCAAAAGGCAATACACATCATTCTAGAGGAGATATCTTCCAAAGTTTGTCCTGTCAATCACAACAAATGAGAGCCCATCAAAACTCTGTGGAACTATTCTGCTACTGGCACTCTTACATTCCCCTCATGGGCCCTGATTGCAACCATCTACTAAGTTTCAGAAAAAACACCTGCATATGAAAGGATCTCAACTAATAGGATGGGCTGGAGGCAAACAAAAAACGTTCCCAGTCACATTTTCCCTTGAAACTTCTGATCTGATTTTGAGATAAAATTCTCAGCACTTCTCTTTTCATCAGTTAGTCTTTGGAAGATGGCAATTCCACAGGACAGGGTATTAATCTGGGACTCTCTATGTATAACTTCCTGGAGTAGGATGAAAGGTACATACCTCTTGAAGACAATTATGTTCCTTTTATTGGTTTGGTGGATACTGAGTGCATGACCCATGACTAAGAAAAATATGACAATCAGAAATATTGACCAAGTATTTCACAACTTTAGTTTTTATCCTCTAGTTATCTTAGGATATTTATACATTAGGTCAAAGTATAAAATATCTACTATATATATGTATACACACACAATTTATGAAGCAAAGAACAAGATCTTTGGATGTAATTAATTTTAAATAATTTAAAGTTATCTGTAATTAGTATGCTTACTGTGTTTTTTCTCTTCTTGCTGCTTTACCATCATTTGGCTTTTTGACGTTGATTCTCGGTGGTCTTGCATAAGATTTGTATCTGATATTTTTTCATGAGCTACAAGAGAGATATAGTTAGCCCATTGAATAGAAAAATACAACTACTATGAAATCTCTACATATCAAATTCATAATAAGCAAACAGAAATATTCTAATTTTTCTGAAGTTATAGTGAAGTTACCATAATGCTAGATCTGATAACAGTGTGAGAGGAGTTTTAATAGATGTGTTTTGAATCTTTCTCATTATTTCATAAATATTTCCAGACATTATATATAGTTGTATTTGTCTCTGTTTTTCTTAGGTTATTTATATTTTATAGATTACATAGACTTCAGAGACCAACCAACAAAACACATGTGTACTATTTGCTAATTACAGTACTATTTGTAATTGCATATAAATGTTCATGCATGGGAAATTGGATAAACAAGCTAATATATGTACTATAAACTTTGTGAAGTGAAGTGAAAGTCATTCAGTCATGTCTGACTCTTTGCGACCCCATGGACTGTACAGTCTATGGAATTCTCCAGGTCAGAATACTGGAGTGGGTAGCCTTTCCCTTCTCCAAGGGATCTTCCCGACCCAGGAATTGAACCAGGGTCTCCTGCATTGCAGGCGGATTTTTTACCAACTAAGCTATCGGGGAAATCCCATAAACTTTGTAAATTATGCTAAATAATATGGTACCATCAGATGTATGTAAAGATGTAAAAGGAATCAAATGAACCTCTATAAACTGACTTGGAGGGATTTCAAGGAGATAATATTAAGAGAAGGAAAAAAAAAAGGAGAAATGTATGGTACCGTTCAGGTAAAGAAGATGGGGAAAAAAGGAAATAAATAAGAAAGAGGAAGGGAGAGAATTAGAGAGAGTGTTACCTTTACAAAATGACACACAAGTGAGATAGAAAAAAATGTAACTGGTTACCTACAGGATGCAAGGGAGCAAACTAAGGAAGAAATGGTACTCCTTTAAGTATACCTTTTTGCATAGTATTTACTTTTGGAAGCAAGTTCAGGTTCCACATGTTTCAAAAATAAAATTAAAAAAAAAAAGAGAAACTAAAACTGAAAGCAAACTTAGAGAAATTAACCTACTTAAAAAAAGTACTAATTCAAGTAACTCATCAATGCAATATTTGACACATACACTCATTCATGGGCAGAAGCGTGGAGAGATTGTCAACACATGACAAAATATTTCTAGTAGGCTTTTTTCCCCCATACAAATAGGCAAAAACAATTTCAAAATAATTTTCAAAGTCTAACAAATGAGTAAATGTGTTATTTAGAAAGAACAGTCACAAAGTGTGTGCATGCGTGCTAAATCATTCAGTCGTGTTTGACTCTTTGTAACTCTTTGGACTGTAGCCCATCAGGCTCCTCTGCCCAAAGGATTTTTCAGGCAAGAATACTGGAGTGGTTTGTCACTTCCTTCTCCACAGCATCTTCCTGACCCATGGATGAAACCTGCATTTCCCCTGTCTCCTGCACTGCAGGAGGATTCTTTACCCACTGAGCTATCAGGGAAGCCCCTTAGAAAGCCCCCTGCCAGGCTCCTCTGTCCAGGGAATTCCCCAGGAAAAAATCCTGGAGTGGGTTGTCATTTTAATAGGGCATCTGGAAAACTATTTTGGGGCAAGAGGAGAAGGGGGCGGCAGAGGATGAGATGGTTGAATGGCATCACTGACTCAATGGACATGAGTTTGAGCAAGCTCTGGGAAACAGTGAAGGACAGGGAAGGCTGCTATGCTGCAGTCCATGGGGTCCGAAAGAGTGGGACACAACTTAGCAAATGAAAAACAACCACCAGACTACCAGTGTCTAGCACCTTTACCATCCAAAACAGTTCACTGTGCTTATTGCTGAGCTTAATGAAACTAAAGTTCTCCACAAAGTTATTTCTCCATTTATACACACTTTCAGTCTGTGTGTAAGGCCTTGGGATGCCTAGAGACTTGACTGATTATTGTTGGCTCAATGCCACAGTATAGTCATGCTCCTGTGACCTTCATAGAGATTTACTGCCCAAGTACAGTGAAGTAAGTATGCAGCAACTGATATCACAAATGCCGCCCTTTTTAACATTCCTGTTCACACTAATGGCCACGATGGTTTGCCTTATGTGGAAATGGGTTGTGATACACCTTTAATGTCCTTCCACAAGCCCATGACCTAGAAAAAGCCCTGCTCCAAGATCAAGTACTAACCTTCCACTATATTGGACTTACATGGTGGCTCAGATGGTAAACCCTCTGCCAACAATGCAGAAGACCCAGGTTTAATCCCTGGGTTTGGAATTTCCCTTGGAGAAGGGATAGGCTACCCACTCCAGTATTCTTGCCTGGAAAATCCCATGGATGGAGGAGCCTGGTAGGCTACAGTCCGTGGGGTCGCAGAGAGTTGGACATGACTGAACGACTTCACTTTTACTTTTTCACTTTCCACTCTATGGATGGCATCCTCCACTGGACCCAAACAAGTGTACTACCCAACAAGGACTGGATTCCATGATGACCCACATGTGACCACATTTGAGTCATTAATGTAAAGATGGTACAAGGACCTAGTATCCAACTGAAATCCCTAGGGGCAAAGTGGAAAGGGGTACATTGTCTCATTCCAAGCTTCAAGGAACATAGATTTTCCCTTCTCTATCCACCCAAAATACAAAGCAGGCCAAGCTTTTCTCAAAGCACTCCAAAGTGTCAATCTTATTTCAGTCTCTACCACAAAAAACACAAAGGACACTCAGTGTAGGTGTATGAATGTATGTTTATGTGCATGTATATGTACAGATATGTATATACACGAGTTCAACTCCAGGCCAAAATCCTGTTTGCCTTTGCAGGTCCAACCACAGATAATTACAAAGTATCCACCTGACAGTTCTCATGGGGGAATACTTCTCACCCCATACCAAATTTGATACATATCCAGTGAACTTTAAACACTGAGAGTAGTTGCAATGGAGGACCAAGGCCCATCCACTGCCATGTTCTTATGCATTCTGGATTCCTATACCAGCTGCCTCTATTAGAGGCCTCCCTATGAAAGGGAGAGTGGTCAGCTGATATTTGTACTTTTCAGGTGCCTCTTACAGACCACTTTACTGGGGGAATCTGAAGCTAGTTTTCTTGGTTACTACTCAGTATTCAGGACTTTTACACTCCTAGCCATTCTACATCAGTATTCACAAGGTTATTGGGGCCATAGTAAGGAAGTCTTTTGTTTGGGGCTCCCTCAGATATGACATCATCTTCCCTCAGCCCTTACTCCCATCAGTATTGATACATCTGACCCTTGCCTGTTTTCTTTCTGTGCAGAAAATTAAACTGTGGTGGAGCTGGGGCCCTTTCCATTTAGACTTGCTTATACTATTAAAGGAAGTGAACAAAAGCTTATTACTTTCAGTTTGGCTTCCTCTCTTAATTGATCAAGGCAAAACAGGCAGCTTTCTCTGCCAGATTAGTGCAGAGAACAAAGTAGTTGATAAAGTAAAATTCTTTTCTGGAAGGAGCACTTTGAGAGGTGCTAGGGAGACTCTTTCAGGACTCAGGGCTGGATCATTTGCAGGAGTTGAAAGGTCCCACAGGGCACATTGTCCATCAGGCTAATGTGTCTCCAGAAGAGCCAGTGGACACCATGGGGCTCTCCAGCAGAGTACCACTGTATTGTCTATGTGCAATTTACTCAGATTCTTCTAAGCCCTGCTTAACTGCAGTTAAGGTCATGTTAGAGGAGCATAGGAAGACTGTGAACCTATCCAATTTGAGCACCAGTCTCTCAAAAATTTGCCTGGGAGAGAAACAGAAATAACTGCCCTCTTTTCTAAGCTTAATGCAGAAGTCCCCTTGAGATTATATCCCTATTCAGTAACTCAGCTGACTTGTATACCAGAATAAGAGTTCACAGTTACTCAACTGATTCTGGTTGTTCAGTCAACAGAACAGCCTTGGCAACAGTAGTATCTGACATCATGACTATTGCAAAAACTTGTCCAGAGTGTGGGAACTTGTTGGGCAGCAACTGATGCCACAAAGGCCCTTTTCCATATTCCTCCCAACAGGGATGATTCAGATCAGTTCATCTTTGTGTGGAATGATGACAATTCACCATTCACACCCTTTCACAATGCTACTTGAATTTCCTGTCAGCAATATATCACCTGGAAAATCTTCCACTACTAGAGGAGGGGCTTGCTTTCTACTCTGCTGATAATATCATTCTATTAAGTCCAGAGAAGAGAGCTACCCAGCAAGGGTTGAACATCCTGCTGACACACAGGTAGCAACATGCTGGGCCATTTTTTACAGAAAGCATACAAGCACCCAAGTGAAATTTCTGGGCATGATCAGGATGTGGTGTCTCATTATCTCATTCCATGGGAGAAGACTGCTTCCGACCCTCACCACTCTAACAATTAAAAAGGAGGTCCATGGACTGATGGAACTTGTCACCTGCCTGCATTCTTAATGCCATTTACAGGGTTACATGAAAGGTCATTTCCTTTCAATGGGGCCACAGCCAAGAGGATGACCTGGAAGCCCTTCAACAAGGCCCAGGCTACCTCCTTTTTTTTGGCCCCTCTGATCCATTTTGCCTTTTGAGTTAACAGATATCAGCAACCTCTCTATTCACCAATTGGAGTTTAAGGCAGAAGGACACTGCCAGAGGCATCAGTTGGACTTTTTAATTCATCATCTCTAGGAATAGCTGGCTGAAAGGTACACAGCCTTTAGGAGAAAATTATTAGTCCATTACTGGGCTTTAGTGTGTACTGAGCACATGACCCATGACTGTGAAATAGTCTCAAGAGAAGAAATTCCAACCAAAAGTTATCAATAGTTTTGCTTTTTCTCTAATTATTTAAGGGCATTCCCACTTTAGGTCAGTGTAAAATTTTTATAAAAATATGACCAGATAGGATTCCTGGAGGAGAGATGGCCACGCCTGCTCTGCTGCTTCTACAGTTTAGGAGCATACATCATCATCTGAGGATGGCTCATAAGCTGGACAAGCAAGACTCTGTGGTTTATTACTGTCTTTTCTATGTGATGCAAACTGGAATGAAGATTGAGAGTGAAAACTAAATGTCGTAAATTTTTATCAAAGCTAATGGATCAGTTAAAAGTTCTTAAACAGCTGGGTGATAATGAATGTTACTCAAGAAATAGTAGTTGTTCACTCAGTCGTGTCTGACTGTTTGATACCCCATGGACTGCAGCATGACAGACTTCCCTGTCCTTCACTATCTTCCAGATGTTCAAACTGATGTCCATTGAATTGGTGATACCATGCAACCATCTCATCCTCTGTCATCCCCTTCTCCTCCTGCCTTCAATCTTTCCCAGCATCGAGGTCTTTTCCAATAAGTCGGCTCTTTGCAGCAGGTGGCCAAAGTAGTGGAGCTTCAGCATGAGTCCTTTCAATGAATATTTAGGGTTAATTTCCTTTAGGATTGACTGACTTAAACTCCTTGCTGTCCAAGGGACTCTCAAACGTCTTCTCCAGCACCACAGTTTGACAGCATCAATTCTTCATTGCTCAGCCTTCTTTACACAGTCCAACTCACATCCACACATGATTACTGGAAAAACCATAGCTTTGACTATATGAATCTTTGTCAGCAAAGTGATGTCTGTGCTTTTTAATATGCTGTCTAGGTTTGTCATGGCTTTTTTCCCAAGGAGCAAGTGTCTTTTAATTTCATGGCTGCAGTCTCTGTCCGTTTGGAGAACTATGCTTTGAAAGTGTTTTGTATGCAGATAATGAAGTTCATGCTGGGTGATTTCACAAAAACATGATCAAGTCCCGCTACACTGCTAGTCTTTTAACAGATGTCAAAACAGTGTTGGAGAACTCACTGGTGAAAATGTATGGAAAGTGAAAGACAACATATAATTGTTTAAAGAATGGAGAGACTTGGGACTGGTGGGACTGAAGAATATACTGATGCTGAAGAAAAATGAAAATATAGGAGCAACCTCTCTGCCCACTCAGCCACCTCAGCCATTATCTTCAACTTAGAACCTAAGCAACATGACATCAGGCAGCTACACTGGAACACAAATTCCTCTTGGTGCCCACAATCCAGCATTCCAGCTAACATCCCAGCAGAAGTTCCTCACAGTATAGGTTTAACAAGTAACACTACCCAGCCTACTCCACAGACTACTCCAGGCATTGATTCTGCACTGTACTGCAGTTTCCCAGGGAGACATCCAACTGACATCAGAGGATTCTGCTAGCGCTCAGAAATATAGCAAATATGCTGGCAGAGCTTTGCACTATGAAGATGTCACCAATGCAGTGCAAACTCTAGAGGAGGCCCTCAAGTCACTGACTACAGGTAGAGGATGCAGTCTTTGTACCAAAGGTCTGTGCTTAAAGAACTAACAGACTAACATGCTTAAAGAACTAGCTCAGTCTTCAGCTTATCATGAGCACAGTTTTAAAGACTTCATTTCCACTATCTGTAAGAATGAAATCTGTGTCTGTGTATCAGATTCCTGTTGATGCTTTCAGCAGATGTAACCAATTTTCTTTGTCTGTGAGTGGATCCAGAAGTCTCTGGATATACAGGAATGATGTGAGCAAGATCCTAAAAGTGCCCATTGAACCCTACTTGTTCTAAAAATGAAAACATACATCTATAAAATACTTTGGGAATTAGCTTAGTATCTTAGTCTACATAAATTAAGGAATCTTTAAATCTATAACTTGGACCAACAGTCCATATTACTTTGCTATAAAATGCTAAATTGAACTTTTAAATAAACACTACCAGAATACTCTACACCAGAGACCATGTTTTTGTTTTCCTCAGAAAAATGGATATGAATGTCCAAAACTGTTAGAGGAATCTGAAAGAGATTTTTTAAATTTCAACTTATATTCATATTAAACATAAATACATTTAAAGTTAAAATGTTCATGGAAGGAAATATATTAAGGTAAAGAGGCAGAATCAGTTTTAGATGTAAGAATGACATTAGCTTCCTAACTGTTTTCCCTTATCCATTGAAGGTGAAGATGAATTGGGATTTGCTTCATAGGAATTTAACCATGTATTAGAGAATGAAAACAATGTTTGTAATAATGCCTGGAAACATGGTGCTTTGAGATAAGGTTCTTTGCTACTATGGAATGAATGCCAAAGACTGTACAGTTATGAGTGATGGAAATCATAAGAACATAGATTCTCAGTTGCTAATTGTATAAGTTTTGTGGGGAACTGTGGATTTACAATATCTCCTGCATTTATGCTGCACAAAAAATAAATACAAGGACTCTTTGAACTAGTTTTTTTTTAAATCCCAAATACATCTTCATGAACCAAAGAAAAGATCTTCTGATAAGTACAATTAAATTTTTTTTCATGTATTCAAAAACTATTTATTGGATGCCAGTTTTGGGTCAGGCACTGTGCTTTTTCCTGGGGATATACTAGCAGCAAGATAGTCCAGGGTCCATCCTTGTGGTGCTTACAGCTTATTCAGAGATACAGCAAGGAAACAAAACAGTGTGACAACTGGAACAGGTAAAAAACAAGGTTATCCCCAATTATTTTACTTACTCATGACACTTTCAGATCCAGAAGATTTTGGTTTCTCTACATGAATTTCTGTTTCTAACTTTAAGTCTTGCTGCGTAAACATGGGACTTTCATCTGATACATCATCATGAGCTACATAAAGAGACACATTTAATGCATTAGGCAGAAAAATGGATCTTGAAATCCCTATATATCAAGTTTATACATGTGTTTACAGTACTTTTTCCTTTTCATAAATATATAAATAAACTACCATCATGCTAGACCTGATATGAAAATGGCAAGAAAAATTTCAATGTGTGTTAAGTCTCATTATTTCACAAATGTTTGCTGGTGTCAAATATATTTTATATTAGTCCCTACTTGTTTTACATTATTATAGTTTAGGTTAATATATACTCATAGACCAAATGATGGAAATGTAAATGTAAAGGTCCACACCACATTTTTAAGCACAAAATACTCAGAAGCACCTAAATATACTAGCATATGAGATTAATTGAATAACAAGGTATATACCATAAACTAGGGTAATATAAATTATTATTTATACAAAGAATTACACAAAAAGCTATAAAAAAAAAGACACTTATAACTCAACTTGGAAGGATTGCTAGATGAGAGGTTAGGAATAAACAAAAAAATGGAAAGAGAGGGTATCAAATATTCTATTTTTTAGGAAAGAAGAGAGTAAGAAATAAAGAGAAAATATCAGATATTTACCTTTAGAAAAAGAAATTCAGGGAAGCGAAAGAGAAAACAATGTATTTGGTCACCAGAAGTTGCATGCAGAACTGGTCGCAATGACTACTATTAAATCTAAACATGTTGCTGGCAGTGATGACATCCTCAATACAACAACTGTTTCTCACATTTAATGACAAAGTAGGTAGAGCCCCAGGGGTTGCTTTGCCCAGCGACACAGACAAATGACAGAGATTCGGATGGTTTGACTCCACTATAAGGAAAGTAATATTGTTGAAGTTAACTAGGGACACCAGCACCTTTTCTGGTGTGTCACTGCAGACCCCCTCTTTCAGAACATCTTCCATGGCTACTATGCCCGAGGAGGATGAAGAAGGCGGCAGGTGGGAGAAAAGTCATGTACACCTGAGCCTCTCCTTCCTTTACTAGCTGTTATTTGCTCTTGACTGGTCCAGTGGTGGTTAGTTCTCAAACAATTCTCAAAAAACTTTTGAGTTCTCAAACAATTCTCAAAAAACTTAGTTCTCAAAAAAATTTTTTGGCTCACCCTTACAGCCACCCGGTAAGGTGCTCTGCAAGCCACTTGATAGTCCCTTGATTCAATTTTAAAAAGTGAGAAAAGTAAATGATGAGACTGTTTACCAGACTCAGATCTAAGTTCATTCTTGCCACTCTACCTGGTTACCTGGCTCAATTAAACCTCCTCATAAAGTGATATCAATTGGTTCATGGCACAATCTATATGTGAACTGAAAATTTTCCAAGCAAAGGAAAAGAAGCTACTGGCAAGACACTAACTTTTCACTAGTACTCAGAGTGATGTAAAAACGGCAATAGGGTACTTACTCCTGGATCACAGGGTCAAGATCTTTCCCAAAGACATCTATGGGTTTTCTTACCCAACAGTAGGTCTCAAGGAGGAGACAGACAGGCTCTCCATCAGATATCTGGGACTAGATAATGACCTTTGGGCACAATGGGGTCCACATACTGATAACTCCAATGACTAATGAAAGTAACATTCTCTCCAACCCTTCCAGTGAACCCTGACATGAATCAGAGTGCATCCCCTTACTTGTATCCAGGTCTCTTAACTTTAAAAATAAACAAGACTATGAGTTAGGCCAAGGTCCTTGTGTCCCCACTGGGAACATGAGGATGTTTTTACAAATCTCCCCTCTCCCCAACATGAGGATGGGGAGGTGAGGAAGAATTTCATTCTTTGGTCTTTTTGGAGCAAGATGAATAAAGTGTGTGTATGTGTGTGTGTGTGCACGTTTATCCCCAATCCATGCTCAGAAATCCTACAACTGAGGCCATTTCAGTGGCCCTTCATAAAAAACTGAACCTAACAAACTACCAGTACCTAGTGCCTTTGATGGACAGAGCAACTACCCAGAGGATTAAAAGCTCATTATTGAGCTTAATGAAGCAAAAGTTCTCCACAAGACTATTTCTCCATTTCAGTAACCCCATCTGGCCTGTGGATGAGGCCTCAGGTATATAGAGAGTCAACTGATTATTAGAGGCTTAACGCTGAGTGCAGAAGAACTGATGCTTTTGAGCTGTGGTGTTGGAGAAGACTCTTGAGAGTCCTTTGGACTGCAAGGAGTTCCTAGCAGTCCATCCTAAAGGAAATCAGTCCTGGTGTTCGTTGAAAGGACTGATGTTGAAGCTGAAACTTCAATATTTTGGCCACCTGATGCGAATAGCTGACTCATTTGAAAAGACCCTGATGTTGGGAAAGATTGAAGGCAGGAGGAGAAGGGGACGACAGAGGATGAGATGGTTAGATGGCATCACCAACTCAATGGACATGAGTTTGTGTAAACTCCAGGAGTTGGCGATGGGCAGGGAGGCCTGGCACGCTGCGGTTCATGGGGTCGCAAAGAGTAGGACATGATTGAGTGACTGGACTGAACTGAACTGAATGCAGTCATGTAGCATGGATACTGGTGTTACCTGAAATTACAATAGTCATAGAGGCTGTTGCCTAAACTGTGGTGGTAGTGGTGGTGGTTTAGTCACTAAGTCATGTCCGCCTTTTGTGACACCATGGATTATAGCCCACCAGGCTCCTCTTTCCATGGTATTTCCAAGGCAAGAATACTGGAGTGGGTTGCCATTTCCTTCTCCAAGGGATCTTCCTGACCCAGGGATCAAACTCACGTCTCTTGAGTCTCCTACGCCCAGGCAGATTCTGTAAGGTGGTCCCTGCTTAAGCTGAGTAAAGTACAAAGAAGTTGACATTGCAAATGTCTCTTTTAGCATCCCTGTCCATAGAAAGGGCTTCCCTGATAGCTCAGCTGGTAAAGAATTTGCCTGCAATGCAGGAGACCCCAGTTCGATTCCTGGGTTGGGAAGATCCCCTGGAGAAGGGATAGGCTAACCAGTCCAGTGTTTTTGGGCTTCTCTTGTGGCTCAGCTAGTAAAGAATCTGCCTGCAATTCAGGAGGCCTGGGTTCGATCCCTGGGTTGGGAAAATCGCCTGGAGAAGGGAAAGGCTACCCACTTCAGTATTCTGGCCTGGAGAATTCCATGGACAGTCCATGGGGTTGCAAAGAGTCAGACACAACTGAGCAACTTTCATTTCACTTGTCCATAGAGAAGATCAAGATCAGTCTGCCATACACATAATGAGTTGCAGTACAACTTTAAAGTCTTTCCACAAGGCCATGACCTGGAAAAAAGTCCCACTCCCACATGGAGAGTCCTAGCCACCCCTATGTTAACAATATCCTCCACTAGGCCTAGGCAAGAGCATTACCCAACAAAGACAGAAAGCATGTGGAATTACATGTGACAAGAAAGCTGGGCTATTAATACAGAAAAAGTACCAGGACCTGATATCCAAGTGAAATCTCTGGGGGTAAACTGAGAAGGGTAAGTATGATTCATTCCATAGGCGGCAATTGCCAAGCTTTAGTTCCTTTAAACCCCAGCAAATACAAAGGAGACCCAATGATTGGTGGAACTTTTTGGCTATTGGTACTTTGACATTCACCATGTGGTCATCTTGATGGCATTTGTCTATTAAGATACAATTTTTGGTTTCTATTTTGAGTAGGACATGACAATATGATGCCCTGGAGGCCCCCCAACAGGTCTCCAGCTCTGTCCATCCCCTTGGCCCCTCTGGTTCACATTTGTGTTTGGGTTATAGATCTTAGCAACCTCTCCGACTGCTTATTAGAGCCTATGGCAGAAATACACTGCCAGAGGCATCCATGGGACTTTTGGTACCATAGTCTCCTGAATTCAGATAAATGGTACAATCTCTTTAAGAGACTATTAATAGCCTGTTACAAGGCCTTCATGAATATTTAGTATATGATCCATGGCCATTAACTAGTCTTATGACTAGAAATATCAACCAAAAGCTATGAGTAGTTTGCTTTTATTCTCTATCTTGTGTTATTCACACTTTAAGTCAATGGGCAAAGCTGCTATAAAATAGATGCTTAAATAGTGATTCATGAACCCAAGAAAAATATCTTCAACTGAGTTTTATTAAAAAAATTTAAAGTGAGACTTTCTTGATGATTCAGTGGTTAAGAATCCACCTGCCAATGCAGGGGACATAGGTTTGATCCCTGGTCTGGGAAGATCCCACATCTCATGGAGCAACTAAGCCTGTGTGCCATAGCTATAAAACTCTTAGGATCTTTTTTGACTCATCTTCTAGAGTAATGAAAATAAAAACAAGAATAAATTCAACCTAATTAAACTTAAAAGCTTTTGCACAGCAAAGAAAACCATAAATGAGATGAAAAGACAATTCTCAGAATGGGAGAAAATGTTTGTAAACAAAGCAACTGAAAAGGGATTAATCTCCAAAATATATGAATGGCTCATTCAGCTCAATAACAAAAAGACAAACAACCCAATCAAAAATGGTCAGAAGACCTAAGTAAGACATTTCTCCAAAGAAGACATACAGATGGCCAACAAACATGACTCATGAATTAACACAGCTCAACATGACTAAATATTAGAGAAATGCAGATCAAAACCACAGTCAGGTAACACCTCACACTGTTCAGAATGGCCACCATCAAAAGATCTACAAACAATAAATGCTGAAGAAGGTGTAGAGAAAAGGGAACCCTCTTGCACTGTTGATGGGAATGTAAATTGATACAGCCACTATGGAAAACAGTATGACGGTTCCTTAAAAAACTAAAAATAGAACTACCATATGACCCAGCAATCCCACTACTGGGCATGTACCCTGAGAAAATCATAATTCAAAAGTACACATGCACTTCAATGTTCACTGCAGCACTGTTTACAATATTTAGCCAGGACTTGGAAGCAACCTAGATATTCATTGACAGATGAATGGATAAAGAAGATATGGTATGTATATTCAATGGAATATTACTCAGTCATACAAAAGAAAGAAATTGGGTCATTTGTAGTCACATGGTTGAACCTAGAATCTGTCATACAAAGTGAAGTCAGTCAAAAAAAAGAAAAACAAATATCAAATATTAATAAAAATATATGGAATCTATAAAAATGGTACTGATAAACCTATATGCAGAGAAAGACAACACATGCAGGCATAGAAAATGGACTTGTGGACAAAGAAAGGGAAGGAGAAGTCAGGACAAACTGAGAGATTGGGACTGACATGAATACACTACCATGTATAAAATAGATAGCTGATGAGAACCTGTGTACAACACAGGGAGCTCAACTCATTGCTCTGTGGTGACGTAGATGGGTGGCAGGGGGTACATAGGGTGAGAAAGATCCAAGAGGGAAGGAATACATGTATACTTACAGCTGATTCATGTTGTTGTACAGGAGAAACTAACACAACATAACATTGTAAAGCAATTACACTCCAACCGAAAAAAAATCCTATGATAAACCATAATGGAAAAGAAGGAAATGGCAACCCATTCCAGAATTCTTGCCTGGGAAATCCCATGGACAGAGGAGCGGAGTGGGCTATCATCCATGGAGTCACAAAAGAGTTGAACACGACTTAGTAACTAAACAGCAACAATGATAAACCATAATGGAAAAGAATATTTAAAAAAAGAGTATGTATATATATGTACAACCGAATCACTCTGGTATATAACAGCAATTAACAACACTGAAAACCAAGTATACTTCAATAAAAATAGATAAGAAAAATAATCTTTAAAATAAAACACATGCCACATACATATTTGTGAACCAAATAAAAAAGATAATTTGATGAGTTTAATTTAAAATATTTATTAAAAAAATAAAAAATAAAATATTTATTAAAAATTATCTATACTTATTATACTTACTAGTGTGTCCTTCCCTTCCCTGACTTTTTCCTTTCTTTACATGTTGTTGGATTTTTGAATCTTGATTCTCATGCATACGCTTTTTATCTCGTACTTTATCATGAGCTATATAGAGAGATACATTTAGTCCACTAAGTGAATAAAACAGATATTATTGGGAAATCTCTAATTTCAAATTTATAATAATTGTGCAATAACATTTTCTCTTATTTTAATAAAATTTTAAATAAATTGCCACAGTGCTAGATCCACATGAAAATTGTGAGATCAATTCTGATAGATGTAAGTTGAAGCTATCTGCTTCATAAACATTCCTAGGAATCAAATATTTGTATATTAGTCTCCAGTTTTCTTGTGTTATTTACACTTTAGGTAAATACATATTTATAGACCAAACAATGAAAATGTGTATGTACAACTTTTCCATTACAATATTACGTGTAATTGCAAAATAATTAAAATCAGCAAATATATAAACATAGAAGATTGGTTGATCTTTGGTTGATTGGTTAAATCAAACTAAAGTATATATTATAAACTATGGTAAAGTATAAATTACAGTACTTGGTAGTATAAGCAAGTGTACCTGTTGCTGCAAAGGAAATGCAAAAAACCTCTACAAAATGATTTGGAGGGATTTCAAGGAGGTAATATTAAGTGAAAAAAAAAAACTGAAATGAGTATCTTGCATGCTACCTTTTGTGAAAGAAAGGGACATAAGAAAGAAATACAAAAACAGGGAAAAAAGAGTTACTTTTTAAATCAAAGATGGAGAAGATAAACCAAAAAACAATTTAGTTGGATACCTACAAAAGGAGGGTGAGGACTAAGGAATGCAGGGAAGGTACAGGAAAGGAATGACACTTTACATATATCATTCTGCCCATATATTACTTTTGGAAAAAGGTTCATGTTTTACATATTCAAAACACAAAACTAAATTAAAAAATAAAAAGGAAGACTAACATTGAAAGCAAACTTGAAGCTACTGAAGGAAAAAATAAGCACAAATCCAAGTAACTCATCAACTACTGAACAACCATCAGCTGCTGAACCACCATTGACAGGAGGATGTTGGACTACACCAAGAAAAAGATACTCCATGTCCCAGGACAGAAGAGATGCCGCAACAAGGCAGTAGGAGGGAGACAATCACATGAAAATCAAACCTCATACCAGCCAGAGATGCTTGGAGGGCACAAACAAAATCTTACGTGCACCAGGACCCAGGGAAAGGACCAGTGACCCCTACAAGAGCCTAAGCCAGACCTGCCTGAGAGTGTTTGAGGGGCTCCTGTAGAGGCATGAGTCAGCAGTGGACTAACACGGGAACAGGAGCGCTGGCAGCAGCAGTCCTGGGGGGTGTGGCATGTGGGCATTAAGTCCTCTTAGAGGAGACTGCCATGGGTCCTACTAAAGAGCCTACTGTCCTGACACAGAGACTGCCGACTCTAGGCCTGGGCCACCTCAGGCCAAACTACAGGGAGGGAGCACAGCCCCACCCATCAGCATAAAATTGGATAAAAGATTTACTGAGTACAGCCCAGCCCACCAGAGTAAGACCCAGGTTTCCCCACAGCCAGTCCCTCAAGAAGCTTCCACAAGCCTCTTATCCTCTTCCATCAGATGGCAGACAGAATGAAAACCACAATCACAGAAAATGAATCAAAATGATCAGATGGATCACAGCCTTGGGTAACTCAATAAAACTATGAGCTATGTTGTGCAGTGCCAGCCAAGACAGATGGGTTATGGTGGAGAGCTCTGATGAAATGTGGTGCACTGGAGAAGGAAATGGCAAACGACTTCAGCATTCTTGCTTTGAGAACTCCATGAACAGTATGAAAAAGGCAAGAAGATATGACACTGAAAGAGCCCTCCAGGTCGGTAGGTGTGTCCAACATGCTCCTGGGGAGGAGTGAAGAAATAGCTCCAGAAAGACTGAAGAGGCTGACCCAAAGTGGAAATGAGGCCCAGTTTTGGATGTGTCTGGTGGTGAAAGTAAAGTCCGATGCCATAAAAAGCAATATTGCATAGGAATCTGTAATATTAGGTCCATGAATCAAGGTAAATTGGCTGTGGTTAAACAGGAGATGGCAAGAGTAAACCCTAACATTTTAGAAATCAGTGAACTAAAATGGACAGAATTGGGTAAATTTAATTCAGATGACCATTATATCTACTACTGTGGGCAAGAATCCCTTAGAGGAAATGGAGAAGCCCTCAGAGTCAACAAGAGAGTCTGAAATGCAGTACTTGGGTACAATCTCAAAAACTACAAAATGATCTCAGTTTGCTTCCAAGGCAAACCATTCAACATCGCAATAATTCAAGTCTATGCCACAACAACTGATGCCAAAGAAGCTGAACGGTTCTGTGAAGACCTACAAGACCTAGAACTAACACCAAAACAAGGTGTCTTTTTCATCACAGGGGATTGAAATGAAAACATAGGAAGTCAAGAGATAGCCAGAGTAAAGGGCAAATTTGACCTTGGAGTACAAAATGAAGTAGGGCAAGGATAATATAGTTTTGCCAAGGAATGCACTGGTCATAGCTAACACAAGAGACCACTCTACAAATGGACATTACCAGATGATCAACACTGAAATCAGAATGATTATAGTCTTTGCAGTTAAAGAAACAGAAGCTCTATACAGTCAGCAAAACAAGACCTAGAGCTGAATGTGGCTCAGGTCATGCTCAGGTCAGGCAAAATTCAGACACAAATTGATGAAAGTAGGGAAAAACCACTAGGTCATTCAGGTAACACCTAAATCAAATCCCTTATGATTATATAGTGGAAGTAACCAATAGATTCAAAGAATTAGATCTGATAGAAAGAGTGCCTAAAGAACTATGGATAGAGGTTTGTAACACTGTATAGGAGGTGGTGAACAAAACCATCCCAAAGAAAAAGAAATTTAAGAAGGCAAAATACTTGTCTGAGGAGGCCTTACAAAGAGCTGAGAAAAGAAGAGAAGCGAAAGGGAAAGATATACCCATCTGAATACAGAGTTCCAAAGAATAGCAAGGAAAGGTAAGAAAGCCTTCCTTCTAAGTGATCAATGCAAAGAAATAGAGGAAAATAGTATAATGGGAAAGACTAGAGAGCTCTTCAAGCAAATTAGAGATACCATGGAAACAGTTCATGCAAAGATGGGCACATTAAAGGACAGAAAGATGGTAACGACCTAACAGAAGCAGAGGAGATTAAGAAGAGGTGGCAAGAATACACAGAAGAACTGTACAAAAAAAAGTCTTAATGACCAGGAGAGAGTGAGACATCCTGGAGTGTGAATTCAAGTGGGTCTTAGGAAGCATTTCTACAAACAAAGCTAGTGTAAGTAATGGAATTCCAGCTGGGCTATTGAAAATCCTAAAAGATGATGCTGTTAAAGTGCTGCACTCAATATGCCAGCAAATTTGGAAAACTCAGCAGTGGCCACAGAACTGGAAAAGGTTAGTTTTCATTCCAATCCAGAAGAAGGGCAAAGCCAAAGAATGTTCAAACTACTGCACGTTTGTGATCATTTCACATGCTTGCAAGGTAATGCTCAAAATCCTTCAAGATGGGCTTCAACAGTACATGAACCGAGAACTTCCAGATGTACAATCTGGTTTTATAAAAAGTAGAAGAACCAGACAACAAATTGCCCACATCCATTGGATCATAAAAAAAGCAACAGAATTTCAGAAAAACATTTACTTCTGCTTCACTGACTACACTAAGGCCTTTGACTGTGTGGATCATAACAAACTGTGGAAAATTTTTAAAGTGATAGGAATACCAGACAACCGACCTGCCTCCTGAGAAAACTGTATGCAGGTCAAGAAGCAACAGTTAGAACTGGACATGGAACAATGGACTGGTTCCCAATTGGGAAAGGAGTATTTCAAGGCTGTATATTGTCACACTGCTTATTTAACTTACATGAAGAGTACATCATGCGAAATGCCGGGCTGAATGAAGCTCAAACTAGAATCAAGATTGCTGGGAGACATCAAATAAACTCACACATGCATATGACACCACCCTAATGGCAGAAAGTGAGAAGGAACTAAAGAGCCTCTTGATAAAGGTGAAAGAGGAGAGTGAAAAAGCTGGCTTAAAACTCAACATTCAAAAAACTAAAATCACGGCATCCTGGTCCCATCACTTCATGGTAAATAGATGGGGAAAAAAATGAATCAGTGACAGACTTTATTTTCCTGGGCTCCAAAATCACTGTGGACAGTGACTGCAGCCATGAAATTAAAAGATGCTTGCTCCTTGGAAGAAAACCTATGACAAACCTAGACAGTGTATTAAAAAGAAGAGAAATTACTTCGTTGACAAAGGTTTCTCTAGTCAAAGTTATGGTTTTTCCAGTAGTCATGTACAGACTTGAGAGCTGGACTGCAAAGAAGGCTGAGCACTGAAGAATTGATGCTTTCTACCTGTGGTGCTGGAGGAGACTCTTGAGAGCCCCTTGGACTGCAAGAAGATCAAACCAGTCAATACTAAAGTAAATCAACCCTGAATATTCATTGGAAGGACTGAGCTAAAGCACTGATGCTAAAGCTCCAATACTTGGTCCACCTGATGTGAAGGGCTGACTCATTGGAAAAGACACAGATGCTAGGAAAGATTGAGGGCAGGAGGAGAAAGGGCGATAGAGGATGAGATGGTCAGATGGCATCATCGACTCAATGAACATGAGTTTGAGCAAACTCAGGGAAATAGTGATGGACAGGGAAGCCTGACGTGCTGCAGTCCATGGGTTGCAAGGAATTGAACATGATTGAGCGACAGAACAACTCCATCTTAGGCGAGAGTGGGCACAAAAACATTCACAAAAATTTCAGTAGGCTTTTTTCTTCTATTTGTATCAGTTAATTGATTGTGAAACAGTTTTACAAGTATTCTAAGATGGCTTAATATATAAATGTGTTGATGTTTCTGAAAGTCAGGATCTACACTGTGGAAGGACATACACATAAACAATGAAGGAAGGCAAGAACAAGCCCTAAGTGTATTACCTGGAATTGAAGGGGTCTGCAAGGACTCAGTTTCCAAATATGTCTATGTATGGGTATACGCATATATATATTTACTTTTATATGTATGTAGTTTAGCTACATATGAATGCACACATGTGTGTGTGTACACACATTGATCCTTCAATTCTATGTTAAAACACTATATATGACCTTTTATACCATAAGAAATTACAGAACTGTCAGTCCTTATTTGGGAAAGCTTCCAACCCTACACTAACAATGTACAGCTCCAGGTACTAGAAACAGTTACAGTCAGGCTGACCCTCAACCTACACTTCCAGCTGACCATGATCTTAAACTCTTCTGCCCAGAAACCTCCATACAGATGCTTCCTTGAGACACTGTACTATTCAGATGCCCCTACCTAGACCATCTTATTAGGTATACCTGGAAAACACTCTTCTCAGTCTGACTCAGTGTAAAGAACTTACCCACTCCAAACTCTGCCTCCTTGTCCTTTCCCTGGGCCCAGGGTCCTTAAAACAGTGGGAGCCTTTTGTTGGAGGCAGTGAGATGTTGCCTCCACTCTCTCCTGTCTATAATGACACACCTGACCCTTGCCCAGTGCTGTTCTGTGGGGAAAATGGAAGACTAGTGGAGCTTCAGCCGTTTTCTGTTTAGATTATTGTTTATACTATCAGAGTAAATGGAAAAAGGCTTAATTTTACTTTGTACAGTTTGTTATCTTAATTGGCCAACTTGACAGCTCTTTCTCTGAGAAACTGGCACAGTAAGCAAAGTGACCAATGAAACATAACGCTTTTTTGAAAAAGTGAAATCTCTTTAGATCCCACAAAGCCCTTTTAGAAGGTGTTAGAGACAATTTGGGTCACTCTTGGACTATGTAAGTGGATTACTGCAAGGTTGTCCAATGGAACACTCAGCCAGTAATGCCAATGAGTCTCAGAAAGTGCTGGTGGAGGCCATAGAGCACCCTTAGAAGGTTCTAATAAATTGTTAAGACTTCTAGTTTTAGGGAAATATTGGTCCTTCACTTTAGCCTCCAAACTCGCATCAGTTTCCCCAATGAATCAAATTAGAGATTGAACAGAGGGACTCTTGAGAGAGCTAGGGAAATAATTCTTGAGCTCATGGTTATGGTTCTCCAGAGATGGACATAAAAGTCATCAGAGACGCAGAAAGCTGAGTTATATACTCTATGACTGTTGTTAGTTCTAAGTCCTGACAGAGACTGATGACTTTAATGAAAAAGGATGTAAAGGACTTTCCAAGTTGCCCAGCAACTTGAAGAGATCTTCAGAGACTTAGGTCTTACCAGACTCAGATTTCTAGGTTCACTTTTGTGAATCTTATTGGTTATCAAGCTCAATCAAATTTCCTCATAAGTTTGTGTTAATTAGTTGTCACATAGTCAGATCTTAACTGGTAAATTTTCAGGCATCCAAACATTGGCGACTGCCAGAAAGTGATATAATAATGCTCCCTCTACTGGATGTTATGGGCAATGACCTTACGTAAAATCTGTAGCCCTGATACCCATACAGTGGGGTATCAAAGGAATAAATTAATACTCTCCACCAAGGTACTCTTGTTATACTATGGGCCATAAGGACCTAACATGTAGCCCCAGTACGGTCCACTTTGTGGTGGCCGCTATGAATAAAGCAAGTGCTATTTTCTATACTTTTATCAATGAATCTTGAGATGGATCTGAAACTAGCATATACACTTATCCTGATTCTCAGCAGTCAAAAATAAACAAAATAGGGCTATACCAAAGCACCTATTTTCCCGGTGAAGACAGGAGAGCCTATTCCAGGACAAAGTTCAAAAGGCAGTTGGAGGAGAATTACATTTCTTGGGCTTTTTGGATTGTGGTACACTAATATCTGTAATCCTCACAAGCCCTGGTGCTAGAATGAGGGGGAAACAGATAATGCTGTGTGTTTTGGGGCACCACTACAAACAGAAACCTTTTCCAGGCCAGACTATGGTACGCTGCATTGTTATTGCCTTCACTGCTGAATGTATTATTGGTAGAGATGCATTATTAGATGACCCATCACTCGTATTCACTCCCAAGCTGTGACAGGATTTCATAATGTTAGGATATTTTAATAGGGCAGCAGGAAGATCTTGAGCCACCCAACTACCAGAACCTAGAACCCTTATCTGTTAATACTAAAAACAATACTGACATGCTGGGTATAAAAAATAAATAGCTGCCCTTGTTGCTGGGCTTAAAGAAGCCAATAATTTCCAGAGACTATACCTGCATTCAATAACCCAATCAGAAAAAAAAAAAATAGCCCCATCAGACCTGTGCACAAAACCTTAGGTGCCTACAGACTGATATGATTAAGGCTGCACAAAGTGTAGTACCAACCTCACACTGGTATTGTGACTGTCACAGAAGCTACTGCCCAAGGTAAAGGAACTCAGTATACAACAACCAACAACTTGAATACTTTTCAGCATCTCTCTTCATGCCAATGATGATGATCAATTTACCACTATGTAGAATTAATTGAAATATGCCACTAATGTCCTTCCACAGGGATCTCTCAATTCCCCATCTGCCTATCTTCAATGGGTAGAGCATGACTGAGATAAAGTCCCACTCACAGAGGGAATTTCCTATATTGATGACGTCTTTCTGGTGGGCCCAGACAAGCACCATCCCACAGGGACTGAACATTCTGTTGATCCACATGGGACAACATAGCTGGGCCATTAATCTAGACAAGGACCTAGTATCCAAGTGTAATTCCAGTGTGTGACCTGTAGCAGATAAAAATCTTACTCTAGAGGAGATGTTTGCAAATCTTTGGGCCCTCCCTTCCTCAAATTATTTATTTTAATTGTATTGATGGGACTTTTGATGAGATTCTTTGACTACTAACACATTTGCATGCTGCCCACAGGGATGTGAAGGCACATTTCTAAGGAGTTACCATAAAGGCTATCCTCTTTGAGTGGAGACCCAGCCAAAAAGATGCCATGGAAGACTTTCAACAGGTCATTCAATCTCCTTCCCTGGACTCCTCTGAGTCCCCACTTGTTTTCTGAGTTACTGATCTCTTTGTAGCTTACTGACATTGTAGCCTATAGCAAAACGACACTGACAGAGGTCAGAGGCAGCCACTGGTCTTTCAGAGCAGAAATGTCCCAGGTTGGCTGATAGGTACATACCCTTAGTGAGATAACTACTGATCTATTATTGTCCTTAATGGATACTGAGCATGAAACAGTCTTAAGGTCAGAAATTCCAACTAAACTGTATCAAGAACTTCATTTCTGTTTTCAAGTTGCCTTAAGGTATTCAAACTTTAAATCAAAATGTAAAATTTTATTCATACAAAACATATGCTGAGATATATCTTCAGGAAACAAAAAAGATCTGATAAGTTTAATTTAAAATGATATGAAGTTATTTATGATTATGATGCTTACTAGAGAGTCTTTCCTTTTTGAGAGTTCTTTGCTTCTTTACTTGCATTTCGGTTTTTGACACAGAATCCTGATGGTTAAGCATAACCTTTTCATACGATGCTTTATCATAACCTACATAAAGAAATGCATTTAGTCCACTGAATAGAAAAAAACCAGATCTACTGTGAAATATCTAAACTTCAAATTTATACAAGTGTACAGCAGAATTCTCTTTCATTTTGATAAAAAATAAATTATCATAATGCTAGATATGACATAAAAGTTGTGAGAAAAGTTTTAGTGAGTGTTTTGAATATATTTCTATCAGTCTCTAGTTTTCTTGGGTTATTTATACTTTAGATTACTATCAATCATAGGTCAAACAATGAAAACACATAGGCACAAGATTACTCATCATGGCATCATGTGTAATTGCATAATATTCAAACTACCTGAATATTCATAGATCATTGCTTGAATAATCTTAAGATATGCACCATAAACCATGATATGTTATAAATAAATATAAATAATGTTTATAATGTGACACAAAGAGCTGTACATACAGCTGTAAAATGAATGAAAAAGTTATCCAGACATGAAAGAATTTCCAAGAAAGAATGTTAAGTAAAAAATAAAAGTGAAAAAGTATACATTTAGGATATCAACTTTGAGGTAAGAAAGAAGGGGAAGTTAAGGGGGAAATTAAGAAAAATAGACACACTTACAAATGAATTACAGAAATGATAAACCAGAGAACAATATAATACATAGTTACTTACAACAGAAGGGTAAACTGGGGCATACAGGGGAAGGGATTCAGGAAAACGTGAGCTCTCGCACTCTTTTAGAAGTAGGTTGATATTCTGTATATTCCAAACTTGAAAGCAACTTAAGGGGGCTGTCCTAAGATGGCAGAGGAATAGGACGGGGAGACCACTTTCTCCCCTACAAATTCATCGAAAGAATATTTGAACGCTGAGCAAATTCCACAAAACAACTTCTGAATGCTGGTAGAGGACATCGGGCACCCAGAAAGGCAGCCCATTGTCATTGAAAGGAGGTAGGACAAAATATAAAAGATAAAAGGAGAGACAAAAGAGGTAGGGACGGAGATCTGTAGGACAAAATATAAAAGATAAAAGGAGAGACAAAAGAGGTAGGGACGGAGATCTGTCCCGGGAAGGTAGTCTTAAAAGAGAAGTTTCCAAACACTGGGAAACACTCACCAGCGGGTCTGTGAGGAATCTTGGAATCTCAGAGGGCCACATAACCAGGAGGAAAAATGAATAAATAAATAATTAAAACCAAAAGATTATGTGCCTAACGACAACTCCCAGCAATTGCAGCTGCCACCAGCAAGCGGGGGCTGAACAGGGAGGCGTGGGCTGCATTGCTTAGGGTAAGGACCGGGCCAGAATGCCCTGAGGACAATCTGAGGGAACTAATGTGAGATAGCAACCCAAACTGTGGGAAGGCCAGAGAGAGAGAGGAAAAAAAAGGAGAGAGAGAGAGAGAGAGAGAGAGAGAGAGAGAACTATCCTGGGAAAAGCCCTAACCTGAGGCACTGCCAGGCTGGCTCACAGAACAAAGGACTGAGCAAATACCAGAGGAGAGCTAGCAGGCTGCAGACAGGCCCATCCCCTGCCGGAGACAAGCAGGAGGGGGGCAGCCAGAGCCGGAAAGGGGCAATAGCGGCCCCAGAGAGGCATCCTCCACCAAACTGCAAAAAGGCTCCGTTGCTAACCATGACTTCTTGGGATTCTGGAGGGTTGACATCCGCCAGGAGGGTTGCAGCCAGATCAGCTCCCCAGAAGAGACTCACAGCACATCTGAGAAGGTGCGCCTGTTGTACACCCAGAAAACCGAGCCACTGGGATGGGGGAGGCGATAAGACGCACCCTCCGCCTGGGGGTGACTGTGCTTGCCAAGCACCTGGTCATCTGAGCTGCTCGGACCTGGGAAGGGCACAAAACGCAGGGCCAACCGAGTCTGCCCTTTGGGGAGTACCCAAGAACCTGAACCTGAGCGGCTTAGACCTGGGAAGTGCAGGTAACCCAGGAACGCCTCAAGACAGTTCCCGGCAGAGCAACCTGGAGCCTGAGAAGTGTAGACCGTGAAAGCACAGACGCCATAATCAGGGGCAAATCCAGTGCGGCTGAGACACTGCGAGCGTTCCCCACACACACCAATGATATTTGTGTGGAGTGTTCCTCCCTCCCCACAGCACAACTGAACAAGTGAGCCTAAATGAGTGACCACCACCGCCCCCTTGTTTCAGGGCAGAAAGTAGACACTGAAGAGACCAGCAAACAGAAGAAGACAAAATAAACAGAGGGAACCACTTTGGAAGTGGCCGGTACAACAGATTAAAACCCTGTAGTTAGCACCGACTATATAGAAGGGGCTTATAGATCTTGAGAAGTATAAGCTGGATCTGCAACAGCTCCAGAGAAATTCCTATATTTTTACTATTATCATTTCTTAAGTCCTCTATTACTCCTTTAATTTTCATTTTTGTAATCTACTATTCAGTTCACTACTATACCTTGCCAAAAAACCCCCTATTTTTAAAGCAAACTTCATATATATTTTACAATGTTTGTGACTTTATTTTGTCTTTTAATACTGTATTTTCAGAGTCTAACCTCTACTCTAGATTTTTAATCTTTGCTTTTTGGTATTTGTTATCACTTCTGTACCTTTAAGAACCCAATCTTCAGTACCATTTTTACTTGGGAGTGTGATTACTGGCTTGATTGCTCTCTCCCCCTGTTGACTCTCCTTTTTCTCCATCAGGTCGCCTCTATCTCCTCCCTCCCCCTTCTCTTCTCTACCCAACGAGGTGAATCTCTTTGTGTGTCCCGGCTGTGGAGAACATATAGGGAACTGATTACTGCCTGGATCCGTCTCCCTGCTTTTGATTCCCCCTTTTCTCCTCCTGGTTACCTCTGTCTCCTTCCTCCCTCTTCTCTTCTCTGTGTAACTCCATGAACATCTCTGAGGAGTCCAGACTATGGAGAGCACATAGGGAATTGATTACTGGCTAGCTTGCTCTCTCCCCTTTTGATTCCCCCTCTTCTCCTCCTGGCCACCTCTATCTCCCTCTTCCCTCTTCTCTTCTCCATGTAACTCAGTGAACCTCTCCGGGTGTCCCTCACTGTGGAAAAACTTTTCACCATTAACCTGATGTTTCAGCATTGGTGCTGTATAGATGGAGAAGTCTTGAGGCTACTGTAAGTATAAGACTGAAATCCAGAGACAGGAGGCTTAAGTTCAAAACCTGAGAACACCACAGAACTCCTGACTCCAGGGAACATTAATCGATAAGAGCTCATCCAAAAGCCTCCATACCGACACTGAAACCAAGCACCACCCAAGGCCCAACAAGTTCCAGAGCAAGACATACCTTGCAAATTCTCCATCAACACAGGAACATAGCCCTGAGCTTCAATATACAGGCCACTCAAAGTCACACCAAACCCACTGACATCTCAAAACTCACTACTGGACACTTCATTGCACTCCAGAGAGAAGAAATCCAGCTCCACTCACCAGAACACTGACACAAGCTTCCCTAACCAGGAAACCATGACAAGCCACCCGTCCAACCCCACTCACAGCAAGGAACGTCCACAATAAAGAGGAACTACAAACTGTCAGGAGACAAAAAGGCCACCCGAAACACAGCATCTAAACACGATGAAAAGGCAGAGAAATACTCAGCAGGTAAAGGAACAGGTTAAATGCCCACCAAACCAAACAAAGAGGAGGAGACAGGGAATCTACCTGATAAAGAATTCCGAATAATGATAATGCAAATGATCCAAAATCTTGGAAACAAAATGGAGTTACAGATAAACAGCCTGGAGACAAGGATTGGGAAGATGCAAGAAATGCTTAACAAGGATGCAGAAGAAATGAAAGAGTCAATATATAATTAATAATGCAATAAATGAGATAAAAAACACTCTGGAGGGAACCAACAATAGAATCATGGAGAGAGAAGATAGGATAAGTGAGGTAGAAGATAGAATGGTAGATATAAATGAAGCAGAGAGGAAAAAAGAAAAAAGAATTAAAAGAAATGAGGACAACCTCAGAGACCTCTGGGACAATGTTAAAAACCCCAACATTAGAATCATAGGAGTCCCAGGAGAAGAAGACAAAAAGAAAGACCATCAGAAAATACTTGAGGAGATAATAGTTGAAAACTTCCCTAAAGTAGGGAAGGAAATAGTCACCCAAGTCCAAGAAATCCAGAGAGTCTCAAACAGGATAAATGCAAGGTGAAACACCCCAAGACACATATTAATCAAATTAACAAAGATCAAACACAGAGAACAAATATTAAAAGCAGCAAGGGAAAAACAACAAATAACACACAAGGGGATTCCCATAAGGATAACAGCTGATCTTTCCACAGAAATTCTTCAGGCCAGAGGGGAATGGCAGGACATACTTAAGGTGAAGAAAGAGAAAAACCTACAACCCAGATTACTGTACCCAGCAAGGATCTCATTAAATATGAAGGAGAAATCAAAAGCTTTACAGACAAGTAAAAGCTGAGAGAATTCAGCACCACCAAACCAGCTCTCCAACAAATGCTAAAGGATCTCCTCTAGACAGGAAACACAGAAAAGGTTTATAAACTCAAACCCAAAACAACAAAGTAAATGGCAATGGTATAATACTTATCAATAATTACCTTAAATATAAACAGGTTGAATGCTGCAACCAAAAGACAAAGACTGGCTGAATGGATACAAAAACAAGACCCCTATATATGTTCTCTACAAGGGACCCACCTCAAAACAAGGGACACATACAGACTGAAAGTGAAGGGCTGGGAAAAGACATTCCATGAAATAGGGACCAAAAGAAAGCAGGAGTCGCAATACTCACATCAGATAAAATAGACTTTAAAATAAAGGCTGTGAAAAGAGACAAAGAAGGACACTACATAATGATCAAGGGATCATCCAAGAAGATACAACAATTACAAATATATATGCATCCAACATAGGAGCTCTGCAAAATGTAAGGCAAATGATAACAAGTATGAAAGGGGAAATTAACAATAGCACAATAATAGTGGCAGACTTTAATAACCCACTCACACCTATGGATAG